TCCAGCATCGTGCGGAAACGACCCATAGCTTGCCACACCACCCTGTCACGCATCAGCAGCTTGGAGTCCTTGAAAGCCTTATGCAACTTGTCCCTGTCAACGAAACCCACCAACCTCCCGATGGACATCACGTCCGCACCCAACCGCTCAAGCTGCATCCACGCTTCGTGCGCATAAGCCACTGCGGTCTGTCCGGCTTGCAAACTCTTGATCAGGTCGTCACGTACCACCATCACCAACCGCTCGCTGTTATTGCAAGCGGTTACGCGCTGGAGCGCAATGTGGAGCTCGGGCGACAGGCTCATGCTGAGTGCCTGCTGATTCCCAAACTGGCTTCCCTGCTCGCCCCACAGAGTTCACGACCGGCCGCGCCGATGGCACGAGTGGCTCTGAAAACTACCCCTGTATCCTACACATTATGCGATACGGTCACTGCATTAACTGTACCAACTTTTCTTTGGAAGCTCCTGCCAAGGTGATTTTCAAACTCGACACCAGAATCTGTGTCACGGAAGATGCGAGCAAGATACCACGTACTAAACCGATCAAACTGACTAAGCAAAAACTACGAGTTTATGCGAATCCTCTCAACAGCATCACGACAAGAACAGGATCAACTGTCATGATGCGCATCAGAAACCATGCGACAAGCAACTGCGTCAAAAAGGCCATGGGTGAACAACATTTGTGGGTGAACCATCGAGATAACCAGATACTTCCTTTACATGATGCTCGCCCTTCCTTGAGACTTCAAACCACTGAATCCAAATCTCTGACAGTCTCACTGCGAGGTCTTGCCTCGGAAGAGTTAGTGCTTCAGCAGATTATGGAGGAGTTCGTGCGGGACTTCGGGCGTCGCGACCTGGCCCAAAATGGACGAGTTAGTTCAGAGGATTTGAGTGCCTTCGAGTGGACTGAGTTTATGGAGACCCTCTCGCAAGTTGCTGAGCTTCAGTTTGAATTCTTGGCTGCCGCCGTGACCACTCTCATCTGAGGCAGCAGTGAGATACTGGAACTTGCCACGATCTGCAGCCACACCGGCTTCACGCGCTTGAACCACACCGTTACTTCTTAATGACCCTTCCGGGGGGGGAAACCAGGCAGCTGATGTCCTTCCCTGAACGCTGACCAGAGGAAGCTGCGCAAAGTGGCGGCTGAGCTCCCAGAAGCATTTCATTGAAGAGGCCCAGTTGATACATTCCTCAAGTCTGCGACCCGACACTCCAAACTTTCATCGCAAGCCTTGTCTGTGTCCACATCCTCCGTCTTGGCTCGAATCAGGCCAGAGTGTCTCCTGGACGCTTTCAGAAGTCTGTCCCTGTCCCTCCCACACTCAAGGACAAGGCGCACGCCCACCCTGCGGGCCTGCCGGCTCTCTTGTGCCGTGGATCCTTCTCGTTGGGGCCGATGATGGCGTGGCTAAGCCGAAGCAGTTCCTGGAATCACAAAGCATTCTCATCAGCGAGGCTTCCGACACGAGTCCGCCGGAGGGGTGATCTATGGACAGCGCAGTGTAGGATGCAGTCTACAGAACTTGGCACCAGCACGGAGCATGGCCCGGGCCATGCAGTTGCTTTGCGGGACAGTGCAGGAGCTACTGTAGGAGCCTGTATAAACTCGCTCTTTCTCCTTTTGCTGTTTTGAAGCTGCCCGAACACCACCAGAAGGCACCCAAATGCTTTTCGTGCAGGCCGGCGGCCATCTGCAGCCACTCCACCTCTCTTTGCAGGTAAATCACGTCAATGGCCTTGGCACTTCCTGAGAGAGCATCCGCAGCTCAAAGCGACAGCAACATCTCACCCTCAACCTGAATACTCCTGGGCTTTGTTTGCAGTGCCAAAGCTGAAGTCAAACACCATCGCTAAACGGCCAAACGTCCTTTGAATCGCATCATGCCCGCGATGAACCTTGGACCAAGCGATTCGACTGAGCGATGCAATTCAGGGGTCTCCGTGGGCAGCATAGCAAAGACCGAAGGTTCTTTGAGGACTGATTTGCGGCGAGCGCGAGTGCCTCAACCCAGCATGTTGTGTTGGGGCATAGGTTCTGGCCATCGTGTTGCATGCGTCAAGCTCTGCAGAGCTGGAACGCTGAAGCCCAAAGTCGCAACACATCTGATGCCCCGCACAGGCAAGCAGCTCATCGTAGGTCAAGTTGCCATCACCTGATGCGGACATCTTGGCTCGAATGCTGTATTGAGCCCATGGCTTGAAAAATCTGCCGGTCCAACACCAAGTCACCATCATCCAACAGCTTGAAGAGGTGAGAACCATCGTTCACGTCAACATCCTTAGCACGGCACAGCGTCTTTCAATCTAGATTTACTTGGCATGTGTGGCCGTCGTAGGGGTTTTTGGGAAGGCATCGTTTGGGTACGGCTGGCCAGGCCCATCTCGGCGGCCCCCAAAAACTTAAAGCTTCTCTTCCACTCCACGACCATTCCCCAGCACTCCTCCGAAAAAATCTCAAAGCTCAAGGTCCAAGATTTCGGCCTGGGATGTTGCCTGTCTTCTCTGAGGTGTTTTCCGTGTTGGGCTCCGGCGGTCCGCGCGGGCTGACGGCAGATTTCGGAAGGGGAGCTTCGCATCCGAAAGCCAAATACCGAGCCCGAGTGGGAAGAAGCAAACCGAGGCCGAAGGAAGGACAAGTCGTCAGCTTTCCTGCAATGCTAGATTCCAAGGACGTCATGTAGCTCCGAATCGTCGGGTCTTGGCAGAGTTGGAGGAACTCGTCCTGATCAGGAAAGTCTCTTTGAACGTTAAACCTTTCAAGCCCTCAACACCTCCCAAATTAACCTGACCTCAGCAATATCCCTTCTTACCCTTTGCACTTAGCTCGGCTGGGACGTTCCGAGACCTGATTGGTCTCCGGCTGAAAGGCTGAGGGCCCTCACAGATCTTATATAAATCATAGTAATCAAGTGGAGATGTCGAGCCTTGGACACCACCCCGTCTTGCGAAACGTCCATGGTCCGGAACCTCAACAACTTGAGCTGGAGATTCGCGAAGGTGCTGTGATCTAGGTCTTATGTTTGGGTGACTCCATGCAGGTTGGAATGGGCAGTCAGCGAAGCGTAGGATGGATCCCGGGTGTGAGAATCAACCCTTTCACAGCTTGAACTATCTTTCGAGACGCTGCGGTAGGTAAAAGAGGAGCAGGAGAAAAAAAATATACACCGATTCCATGCCAGCCCAAAGTTCACTTTACTTCGGAATTAGAACCTAAAAATCTTCCTACTTCAGACTTCTTTCCAAGCTGCACTTTGTTGAGGCGCTTGACGTACTCCTGGCTCGCCTTGGCCTTTTCCCGCCTCAGAGCCAATCTCAGTTGTTCTCCACGAGACGAATGAGATCCCTGTTTCAACGACTCACCAGCCCAGAAGCTCATGACCCCTAATCCCGAAAAGGAAACGCAAGCTAGCCTGAGCCCTGAAGTATCATTTTTCTCGGGTTTTTGCTGGGAGATGTGGCAGGTCCATGTTGCTACTTCTCGGGGTGTATATCGGGGTCCCCTGATTCGGACACCGCCCATGTTGTGTGGGCCGGAGCACACCACAAGCTGGGCATCGTTCTGCGCAGCATCCAGCGTCTCCTGTGCTTGGGCTCCCGGCCAGGGAATGAAGATTCTAAAAGACTTCGAATCTTTTGTCTGAGAATTTCAGCGGTTTTGGGCTCGTACGAAAACGTCGGCTTCTTCGCGTGGAGGATATACATACTGCCAAAAGGAAGCGCAACAAGGGTGCCAAAGCAAACCCTCTTCAACAATCTGAAGTACGAATTCTCCGGCCTTGAGGAAAATTGCGGATATTACGCGGATCACCTTGGAAAGAATGCGGCGTCAGCTCTCAAGCGCACTGGGTAGATGGCCAGCTTCGACAGCACACTGTGCGGCTATAGTGTGAAATTAGGCGTGCGGTCCCAAACCTTTTTAAGAGTGCAGACTTGCAGGGTTTGGAATGCAACAGCGGAAGAGCTTCGGAATAGAACTCGGCTCTCGGCAGCTCATCTCAACGTAGCGAAACACTGTCTGCACGCAAAGTGGCTGCAAAAACAACGAAGACGATGTAAGCGACGAAGAAGAGCGAATAGCCTCGAACGGGATCGGGTTGCTGCGTCGGAAAAAACCCTCCACATTCCACCAAACCGACGTGAGCTTGAAACTTGAAGCTTCTCATTCAAAGCCCGCAACATTCCTGCCCATTCTGGATGCATGATACATGTCCAACAACGCATTAATTTAAGTTGTGCCAAAACGGAAAATGTTGTTGCACATGGCCAAACCTGTTGTGAAACTCAAGGCACTCGTTACAAGACAGCAGGCTCGATTGGAAACGAGTTGGCCGAGTCCCTGCCCCGACTCACGATTCATGTCCTGAAATATGACTGACTAGCTAAACGCAAACCCCAGCAAAGAACCTCGCAATCATCAACACGCAGTTCGAACATGACATGAATGAATACTAAAGAACCAGCGCCACCCATTTCCGACAAAATAGCCAAGCCACCGACTGCGATGTCTTCGATCACAGGTCTTGCATACAGAGGCCACGATCCCGCGAAAGTGATTTCGAACATCGTATAGATGGCCTCAGTGTTAGTTCAACGTCTTCTTTCTGTGTCAGCCCTCAGCCCTGTCTCAAACAGAACCGGTTGACATGAAAAGCAAACAGTTTCATGACGCCCCAACACCGCTGATTGCCGTTGCCGCGGTCAACCATTTGCGCAGTTTTGTTCTTTTATGACTTGTAATTAGGTCGGGCCAAGCTCTTAAACCTCACTGTAAACGCAAAGACAAGCCCCCGACACCCGACTCCCCAGAGTGTCCAACCCAAACCCTAGAAGTGTCTTCAATGTGAAGGGCAGTCTGGGCAGTTGGACGGAGGAAATCTTGCACCATTCCTGAACTGTCGCAGCTCGAAAGGCACAAAGCTTTGGGATGGTGCAAGATTTGCTCCATCCCATGTAGTGGTGAGGGGCGAAGTGAGGCGAACGTCGACCGAGGCACGAGCCTGGCCTTACAAAAAGGCGGCCCCTCCGGAGCAAGGCCGGCAACACAGCGAAAAACAAGACTCAGTCGATGAAGCAATCCTGGGGGTATCGACCGGAGTAGACCCTATCCCATGGCCGCCATGAATGAACGGGCTGAAGAACCATGAACAGCTTCCCCACTTAGAACGTCCACAAGCGCCGACGTCTCGATCACAGGTGCCGCGAGCACTGCTCGCCCTGTGAGACACAGCCTTCCGCCACCAGTCGCACAACAAGAGTGGCAACCGGAGTACATCCTGTCCCATGGCCGCCATAAT